ATATCGTAAATATCTATTAATTAATTAAAAAATATTTTTCTTTAAATTTTACTGAGTAAAAAACATTTTTTATTCAATATTTTTTTTAAAATTAAATAATATTTTTCATCGTTCTATTGTAGCCAATTTATGTTTAGTATACTTTTAATTTATCTTTTTGACTTGTCATACTGACCTTTTTCTGTTCTAGAATACAATCTAAAATTCTGATTTTTTGCAGACTTACACTTGAAATGTGAGCGCTTCTAATAGCAATTCAAAAATTTTAAATTTTTTTAAAGATTTAGAAAAAAAAATTTGCAATATAGAATTATCAAAATCGTGCATTAAAAACTTTACTCTGCGGCGAGCTATGTGAATTATTGAAAATTTCTATACATACATATATATTGAGTCAAATGTAGTCAGAACATTGACAAAGTTTTTAAAACAAAAATTAAGTCCCTAACTTGAACGGTTACAAAAATAAATTTTTATATTAGTAATTTCAATTTAAAATATAAACACATCCGTGAGGCTAGTTAACTCGTACAGTTTTTGAATATAATTTTACTACTACAAAAATGTACAAGATTTCATAAAACGGTAAATTATGAAAAATCTCTAATATAAGCACTCCTATTGTTTGTCTAAGATTTCTTTTATTGTCTCAAAAACTAAATTTTAAAAAATAAGACAACATTTCCGTAAGTGTTAAATAACAACCTCATTTGCTCAGAGTATACAAACCATAAACAACTCAACTAAAAAAGGCGTAAGAGTAAATAAACCAAATCGAGCAAGAGGACAAAAAATTTAGATCATAAATAAGTGTTGTGTGTGAATAGGTAATATTGTATATGCATTTAAGATTCTGGCCATAAATCAAAGCCAAATAAACACAAGCTCAAAATACAAGAACAGTACAGAGGATAAGAAGAACGACCCTATCAATAGCCAATGCAAACCATATGGTCGCATTCCAATTACATACACTACAGGGCCGGCTTTCTATCTATTTTGTATATTAATATTTATATTTTTAAATTAAATTTGGAAAAAAGTTAGAATGCAAAGATATAAATTAAATGAGAACGGTATAAACACTAATTTAGCAATAAAATAAATAAAGAATATACAAGGTTGGTAGCCGGCACTCGGCAGGAGGAATATCCACCAAGGCAGAGGGCACTTACGGTGTGTCATGGCCGTCAACACCCCAGGTGGCGCACTGACGTCTGCTGGCGTTTAAATGACGGTGAAATGACGTCAGAAGACGTCATTTAAACGTCGGCGGGCGACAGTGTGCTACCGGGGACTTCAGTATCACACAGGGGGGCAAAGAATTCGAAAGAGGTCACCAGGAACCTGTTACTGACTCGGACAGAGATGTTCAGAAATACACCAACAAGGACAGGTTCTAGCAGCGTACTAACTCTTCTACCCCCATTCATGAATCCCAATTGAATGGGGTTATTACTGGTTGAGGAGGATTCCGGATTGTACTTAGTTTTGGGTCAGTTCAATGTCCTCCAAAAACCCTTCCCAAACTGGACGTATGGCCCGACCCGGCTGACAAAAATCCGTGGAGCGGCCTTAACCATAGACACTGTCATCCACGACCTCCTAGGGTGGATTTACCAGCCGACGTAAAAACTTCGGATCCAACAAACACAGGTAATGCTGTGATTTGGCGGGATACGCTGGAGAACGGAAAGGGGGTAAAATATCCCTGGGAGATTAGTGGCGGTTAATGTCTTTGGGGCCTGCCATACTCAATATTGATATAAATAAAAACATTTTTTCCTACTCTGATCCAATTATCCTTCATAAAAATTAAATTAAAATATAAGATATAAATGAAGATAAAATATATTTGATTTAAAAGAAATATAAATATAAGTATAAGGTATTAAATTTTTATTTTAGTAATATTTAATATATAATTAATTAAAAAAACGGTATAATAGATTGGGATTCAGGATTTACCTTGCGCTAAAGGTACGTATGGCTGAGCGCTCCACACTCTGCGCCCTCTATATCAAAAACGGTTCGACGTATAAAAAAATTTTGTAAACAATATTTGTGGAGAATTTTATTCTCTACAACTTTTATAATAAATGCAAATACGATAGGAGGCAGAGAAACCGAGATATGTGACTTTTGAGACAACATTTGTAATGCTAAAATAAAGGTTTTCACAAAAATTCAGCTTATTCCGTTAGATTCCGAGGTTGATCCCTTTTTTTGACTAAGATGACTGTACTATAAACCTGTCAAAAAACATGTTTTTAACATTTTACATTGATGGCGTAACGGTAGTGTTGATAGATTCTGTCAAAAAAATTAAGGACATTTTCTGAAAATTTATACATATTATACATATTCTTTGCGCACTGCTTCTGGAATTGATTTGCAGTTTATAATTATATGTTTCTTCATCCTATCTGCATGTGTAATGTAAATTGTTCCACAATAGTTACATTTTTCTTTCACTTTGTGTTCTTCACGTATTTCAGTAAAAAAAATTCAGATTTTTGATTTGGACTTCCCCAAATTCATTATAAATTAAATGGAAACACGCTAACAAATCAAAACAATATGCACTTATCCACGTATTTTTTTTTCACAACACAATTTTTCACAGGCTAATTTTGCCGTACTTGGCTTTGGAAGGTCGGGGATATGGTTGTCAAGCATCCGGCTTTATATATAAATCTATAACTTACTAAAGCTTATAGACAATTTGCAATTCTGCGCTTCCTGTAGCTATTATAGAATCGTAAATATTTCCGATCAGGTGTTTGCCAATCGTTGCTAGTTACAGTTCGTTTTTGTTAGGTCGTGTTAAGCTATTTTAAAAATTATTTTTTTTTATTATTTAATAATGTTTATATGATTATGGTAATATTTATTAATTGGGACAAGAAGGCTACATTAGAAATAATTCTAATTTTGACTAAATAAAACCTTTTTTATTTAATAATTTATTTTTTATTTTACAAATGAAAATAAAATAATATTCTTTAAAAAATAAACCGCAGTCAAAAAAGAAATAAACAACAAAATAAATAAATATTCTAATCAGTCAAAAATTAATAGGTCAGATATCAAAATTTGGATTACAATTTCAAATCTTAATTGTTCTTCATTCAGGTTTGTATAATTTTCTAAATAGTTTTCAAAAAGCTTAACATTTTTTTAAATTTTCTGCTCCTTGTTTAAATTCATTCAGTTTTCTGCCAAACCTGATAAAGGTTTGGCCCAATGCATAATCTTCTTTCATTGCCCCCAAATATAGTTTAAACTGTTGAGGAGTGGTGTTTTTTGTTCTCTTTCTCTTTGTTTCTTTAGCGTTACCACTAAACATTTTATATATTATATGTTCTTTTAAATGTAAAATTATCTTACCTTATTGTATTCATTAACTAGTTTAAATTTCTTACTTTTTATATTATATTATATGCTCGTACACAAATGATAAACCGATAAACCTTTGAATATTAAAGCCATAAACAAAATAAAACATAAATAAAAAAATAAATAGTCGTGAAGTTGTAGCAGTTCATTTATATCACTTTAAATTAGACATTTACAGATAAGTTATCTGAGATAACATCCCAAAATTGACACTTTTACGATTCTATATATATGCTTATAAGCATTATTGTTACAGATCATCGTAAGCTTTATTTAATTTACAGAAATTTTACGGGAGAACCCAGAATTGATCTTTTAGCCTGCAATGTTTAGCTTTTTACAGTCGTGTCCGGCTTTTTGTTGTTTAACTAATGGTTATAACTGGTTCATTTTGTAACAAAATAAATAGGTAATTAAAATACGTTACCAAATTTTTTTATTATAAAAGTTATGTCCATCTTTATAAACGTTTGTGCGGCTTTAAAAAGTTATGTTTCGCTATTAAAAAAGATATGTCCCGCTTTAAGGGCAAAGCGCCTACGGGGAACCACCAAATTGTAAATGATGTCGATATTGGACGATCGCAAAAATTTTGAGATTCACGGGTAATTGTTGATACCTAAATAAAATGCTGCAAAAATTAAATATATTTTGACCGGTCAAATAGGTAGCGGTCAATTGACCATCCCCAACTCTAAACACAACCAGTGTTTTTCATGTCGGAAACCTCCGAATAGATAGGTGGATCCATGATTTGTATCATGGGGGAATCCCTTATATATTCACAGCGTTTTGGGGATTCACACTACAAAATCGTTTATAAGAGGGACCATTCAAACGTCATCGACCAAATTAAAAAACGTTACGCAAATATTACTGATCGAGACACTGACCAAAGCAAGGACTTTGCTAGGCTAGCAGTGCTAGGCTACTCAGTGAGTTTATTTTTTATATTAACATGATAGTTATTTATGTCATTAAGCTGAGAAGTGAGTAGTACTCACTTCTCAGACTAATGACAAATAATTATCATATCGATGACTTTCTGCCAAAGTATCGCAAGCAACATAACTTTAATTTCGGGAATTGAAAACATGTTTTGTTTTAAAGTCTGTTTTAAATTAAATATAGCCTAAAGGTTTTATAGCAAGTAAATAGCTTATAATTATAGCTATTTACTTGTTATGAAATCTAAAGGTTATATGTGGTTTAAAACAGATTTTAAAATAAAAAATGTTTTCAATTCCCGAAATTTAAGTTATGTTGCTTGCGATACTTTGGCAGGAAGTCATCGATATTAATATAAAAAATTAACTTTTGCAGACGTGGATGGATAACAATTTTGTATTGTCTTGTTTACAAAATGAATAAAATAAGGACAGCTTGATTTCCAAAGAAAATAATGTTATTTTTTCAGCATTAATGTTTTTCCTTAGTCTATAAGAACATCAATTTTTTTTGCGGTTTTCGGCTATTCCAGTCCACTGTGTGTGCGGTGCATTGGCGCCATACCACACTTCTTTATTATTAAATAAGTTCTTTGTCATTTTATATTATATAATTATATACACATATATATATATATATATATATACTTTTAGTTTGAAAACCCAAGGGATGTATTAAAAAATAATAATCAAAAAGAAATGGAGGAGTTTAAAGTTAATGTTTGTAAGAAAAACAAACAAAATGTCGAAGACAGTTCTGATAGTGATGAACCTTTAATAGAAAAAATGCGGAAAAACCCCTGCATAAATAGTACAATAGGATCAAGTGAAGCATCTGCAACATCATTAAAAATAAGTAATTCATCAAAAAGCAAAGTAAAAAGTGGATCGGATATACCTGTTAATAACAATAAGTCGATATCTTTAGTAGGTACTAGAAGGTCTGTTAGAAGTAATATACCTGCACAAAATACTCGAAGTAAAGGTGAAAAGGGTCAACAGCAGGATGGAGAGATTAAAAAGAAAGAAAAAATGACTGAATCAGACAGGAGAAAAACACGAAGTGCTGGTAAGTTATATCTATTGAACATTATACATGAGTGGCAAAGTTAATTAAATTAATTGCACGCTTTATAAGAAGTTTAGACCGCTGAATATAAATGTTTATTTTTGTTTTAGTGTCAGAAGTTGAAAGTAAACGAAAAAAAGAAATAAAGTGACACTATATAAAGGGCTGCTATGAAAACAGCCTTTTTCATCATTATATACCACACCATCATTTATGTGATCAAACATCATCCTCTTTCTACAGTACTACTACAGAAGATGAAAAAGATAATAATTTAAGTGATAATGAAGATTGTGGTCAAAGCACAACCTCTTTCTACCCATCAATGCAAACCTAATGTATATACAGATTGTGATATACCTATTACACCATTAGATTTGTATATAATTTAAAATAAATATTGTAAATAAAATATTCATTGTTCATACACACATAAAAGAAGTAAATGTGGTATTTTCCATTTGGGCTTTTAATTTTTACCTTTTTTATTTAAATAATACAACAAATATTTGTTGTAAATTAAAATACTATTTTATTGGAATAAATTAAATCTATATTATTGTTGATACCGGTACTGTGTACTTTTCTAAAAACCTAGAAATATAAAAATTGTTATTTGCCCTTAAAATAACGTTTTTTGCTCTGAGTAGTTAATAATTTTTCAAATGCTAAACTTTACAGTATCAGTGACAATATCGTTCATGCACAAGAAAAGTGACCTATAGTCTGATTGGCAAATGATTTACCTTGCGTCATCAATTTCCAAACCAAACATTGATCTGCGCGATAAGCCGCTGGCATTCAGCGATTCAATTCTGGGTAAAACATTCGTCGATCAGATTCATTTTCTTGGATATTTTCAGAAATGTCCAGACTCCTATAACTTAAATTTAACTTATAAAAAAAATTAGACAAAACATTTATATTGTACGTAGGTACTAGTACAATCTAGAAAACGACGAAACCATAGAGAAAAAATGCAATATCTAATTGGTACCTACATTTATATTTTTATATAAATAAATTATTTTTAGAAAATTTTTATGCGAATTAATTATATTTAATAAACATTAGTAATAACATTAGTAATAACTTTTACTATTACTATATTGGTAATATTACTAAATTATGCATAAATATTTGCAAACCAATTTCCTCAATGTTTTATTAATATTATATCATAACATTTCTACAATAGAAGCTTTGGGACATCTGAATGTTGTAGGAATATTGAAATAACATTAGGTATTGGGTAAACAATGTTTATCCAATAATCATATCAATGAACGTTAATATACTATCAAACACCGTCAACTTGACGGTAGCAAAGTTTAACCGTAGTCTACACAGTGCATGACTTTGTAACTATAGGTACTCTCTAAAAATTAGTAAAAGTGACTAATTGCCATAGCGAAAAAGCAGCCACTAATAACACTGTAGGGAGGTTAAAATATCACAGCTAAACGCTCGGACACGTAAACCTAATTTTTGGTTGTAGATTACAAATTCATGCTTGCTTTAGCTGTATCATGTCAAAATTCAAAGATATTGAAAACACCCAGTATAAATTAAAAAAAAATCAATTTGGCTGGACCCACAAATCAGTTCCAAATTTAAAAAAAAACAAATTCTTGCAAAATTTGAAGTTAATTGATCAAAAGAAACACATGTCCCTGAGGGTTTTATATAGATAATTTAGGAAATTTAAAATGTTTTTTTTGCTTATTTTTGTTATTGAGTATACCTAATTAAGGATATTATGTTAATTGAAATAGAAAGCAAAGGAATGTTGGCATAAGAGGCAAAATATATTATTTTACTATTAATAATATACCAGTATTAGGGTGAGCCAAAAAAACTAACCTATCGGATTTATGGGTTAAAATGAACCTACATACCGAGAAAAAAATTTCCCTGCAAGGCAAAATTTTTTGCTCAATTTTAAAAGGTGTCGGTGAGCATTCTAAGTTTTCCATTGAAATAACACGTAAAAAAATCTTTTTTCATTAAAAAGACTTTTGAACCGTTTGAGATAAAAAATTTTACGTCGCGGATTCTTGTAGAGCATAAAATTTCCCAAAGAATCTAGGTATACCAGAATTAATTTTTTTAATTCAAAAATTCGTATGTTTGAAAGCTTTGAAAAGTGTAAAAAATCACTAAAACTGCAGTTTTACACCTTTTAAAATTGAGCAAAAAATTTTGCCTTGCAGGAAATTTTTTGCTCGGTATGTAGGTTCATTTTAACCCATAAATCCGATAGGTTAGTTTTTTTGGCTCACCCTAACCAGTATATAGTGTGTCCCCAGATCGGCTGATACAGCTAAACCGAGGAAATTTTTATTTCTTTTACTTAATTTAAAAATAAATAGAATTGGTACTTATAAAATCTGTAATACTTTTAATACTGTAATTTTTTAAATAAAATTTGAAATTTGTCGATAAACTTCAGTGAATAAAGTATTGTACCACTTTAATTTGAATTATCTTAATTTGGGGGGCATACTAAAAAACTAACTTTTTTCGCAAACTTCAATTTGAATTCTGCTTGCGCAGAACTTGTCTATATAATGTCATTATAAACTCACATAAATTTCATGTGGGTCCCATGTCTAATAACTGAGATATGGGTGTGCCCAAAATCCACCAGCCGCCACTAGCACGTAGGCGCCAGACACCCCAGGAACGGGTCTGCAGGTGGGTAAAATACAAACTATATTTGATTTAAAATTGATATTTACTTCAAAAATAATTTAGATTTTCACCGAATTATAAATTTAGGTACCTAAAGAATTAAAATAAATGAGGTAATATTTTTAGCAACAAATATTTATTTGCATTAATCCTACCATGCAAAATACAAACAGAGTTGCCAGATAAATTTTCACTAATGTCGCCAGTAGATGGAGAAACGGTCGCCAAAAAATCGCCACTCCCCCCATGAAAAATAAACAAACACAATATTTCCAAAATTTATTAAAAAAAAAACAAAATAAAATTATATAAAAATAAATTATTAAAATTCTGAAATAGGTACAGGGTGATTCCCTATAATGTCACCCCCCTTTAAACTTTTTAGTAATAACATAAGTAATAAAATACTCGAAAGTAAATATTATACTTTATTACCTTTTGCCCACGGTTCCTTCAACTAGTCATGATTAAAACGTCGGTTCAACCGACTCGGTTGACTTTAGCAGACATGACAATATGATAAAATATATAAATTAAATCTAATATATTTGCGTAAAATCACAGATAAAATACAATGCATCCGCTTCCCCATATAGGATAGATAGGTTAGCAATGCTAACCTATCTATCCTATATGCTATGCTAACTTAGCATAGAAAAAGGTTAGGTTAATAAGTCGTCAGGCGTTGTTGCCAACAACTTGTTGGACGTTGGGCACTGTTGCCAAATCTGTAAAAATGTTAGAGTGTTTAAGGTTACTACTTACTACCAATAGATGGCGAGTATGGGTAATATAAACACATACTTCCACAGTGGAAGTATGTGAATATAAATATAAATTTAAAAGAACGCTTGACACGTTCGCATTTTTGCAAAATGTTATTAAATATTTTAGCATAAGACTCCATATAAAATCGCCACCAAAATTTAAAAAATCGCCACAATTGTCGCCAGTCGCCCTGTGAAATTTTTGTCGCCATTAAGGAAGGTTGTGTCGCCACTTTGGCGATAAATCGCCACATCTGGTAACACTGAATACAAAATAGAAGAGAAGTAGGCCTTTATTCCCTGCGAACAAGTGGTTTACTATAAATTATTTGCGACGTTGTCAATTTTCAAGTGTTTTAAAGTGTTTTCTTTTAAAAATGGCAAGTTTACCTAGTGGTAGTGGAACATTGTGTGCTCAGAAAACATGTAAACATTCTTATTATGAGAATAAACACCTGAAGTTCCACCTTTTTCCGAGAAATGAAAAAAGGTATGTATATAACCTCAAATTTTCATTATGTAAACACGATTAATTTTCACAATTTAACAATCTCTTGTTAAAAACAAATTTGCTTTTTATAATTTTAATTTGCCGATAAAATTAAAGTAGAGAAAAGGTACCAAAAACACAGCCTATTGCTGGATTTATGCAGCACAAATTAAGATTTAACAGATTAATGGTGGATTTATTAATTTAATAAATTAATTTAACATTAATAGGAGGGTATTTATGCAGCAAAATTAGTAGCAAATTAAGCATGCGTAAAAGTAATTTTGACATCTGACATTTTTGGTTTGTTTGAATTTTGTTTTAATCCCGTTTTAGCATCTGTTAAGTAAAATAAATGAAAACTATAAACTCCACGTCAAACAATAAACCAAAGAAAACAATCATTGAATAAAAAATCAATCATTCAGCATTAAGTTTCATTTTATTTTCGGGTATGTTGGCATTACTGACACGGTTTATTTAAAAATTGCGCCGCAAACCTGCGCAGGAGGACTAAAAATTAACATTATCATTAAGATAAAAGTTGGCCATCTCTTAATGATAACTTAATGCTAAAGTTAATGTTAATGTGTTGCATAAAAGCTTCCAATGGATTACGTTCATTTACCTTCTTAATGTTAATCTTAATGTTAACTTAATGTTAATTTGTGCTGCATAAAGCTACATTCGTAATGAATTCGCTGGCCGAGTGACACTTTGGCACGCAAGTCGGCACGAAATTTACCATTCACAATAACTTTATAGTCGAATTTAACGCATGGACGTTGGTAACTGTCATGTTCTTTGTAAGGTTAGAATTTGCATTATTTTGTTTTTGCTTAAGCAATTGGTGTTATTTTTTAAATGCAAAAATGGACAACAATCAATCAAATAGTTTACTTATGTTGTGTAATAGTTTATTTAGTGATAAATTCTTATTAAAATGTGTTACAAAACACCAATGTTCACTTTATAATAAATAATAATAATAATAAAAAACTAGTATACATTAAGTTACATACATACATACATACATTTACATTAACAATGGGTAGTTTATTTAAATAAAGCAAGAAAAATGTATTTAATCACATTAAAAACACTACACACACAAAACTCAACGCCATTGAAAATGTCAAACCTTCATAACAAAGGCAATGCGCATGTCCCATAGCCGGCACGAAAGTCGAAGTTGAAGTCGAAGTTTGCAGCTTGCAAGAAATTTTGCCCACTTCAACTTCCACTTTAACGTCGAATTTCATTGTGAACGATCACACTGTTACACATTTGCTTAGCTTGCGAGTCAAATTGCCACTCGGCCAGCGAATTCATTACGAATGTAGCTTAAATCCAGCATTACACAATTGTTATTGTTAATAAAAATAACAATTTGTTATGCTTTATAATACACTCACAGGCAAAATAATCGATCCACACAAATTTTCGATGAATTTCAATCGCAAATAACTTTTATTTTATGTCGGATTTAAAAGAATATTAAAGAATAT